CGGCCCAGTCTCCGAAGGGAGGGGATCATGCTCTTCTTCAGTATGTCACAGTACATGTTGGCATTCATGGTTCCCTCAATGAACTGTAGCTCCCCAGTGCCGTCAGCACTCATGCAGCCCCAGACCATAGGGGCTTTCGCACCGCTTTAGTTCCAGAACTAAATGTACAGTACTAAAGTACTGGGATGATTTTGCGCGAACTATTTCCCAGTATCATTTAAAGGGTTGCATTCGCACCGAGAGTGTGTACTAACAAGTGATGTAAGACGGTCGACAGCGACGTCATTTGTGACGAGCGTTCAACAACCGTAACAAAGTACAACAACATTAACAACAGGAGGATGGAGGACGCTGTGATCGGAGCTATGTTTTTGTTGTGTCTGGCGGGTTTCACAATAATGGACATGGAAAGTCGACGTATACGTAAAGCGATTGAAAGAATGGAAAGGAGGACTAAGAATCTCCAACGACAACTGGCAGTGCTACATTTGCTACAAGTGCCTGCACTTCAGCGTCCGTCCATCTATCGCTGGTCTCCATACTTGAGAAATAAGTTGACATGTTTACAGTATGTTTACACGGCATTTTAAATCATGGCGGGTGAGGGCATTTTCATACGCGTTTGGCCAATCAATGTCTACTTACGTCACGATTAGTACCAGTTGTGCTGGTTAGCTAATTTGGTTCTCGAAAACGACAGTCCGGTACTAAAATCGCACCCAGTTCTGGCGGTGCGAAAACGCCAAAAAGTGGGTAGTTCCACAATTAGTTCTGGTACTATGAAAAGGTTCCCGCGGTGCAAAAGGCCCTCATGACACTCCCACCACCATGCTTGACTGTAGGCAAGACACACTTGTCTTTGTACTCCTCACCTGGTTGCCCCCACACACGCTTGACACCATCTGAACCAAATAAGTTTATCTTGGTCTCATCAGACCACAGGACATGGCTCCAGTAATCCATGTCCTTAGTCTGCTTGTCTTCAGCAAACTGTTTGTGGGCTTTCTTGTGCATCATCTTTAGAAGAGGCTTCCTTCTGGGACGACAGCCATGCAGACCAATTTGATGCAGTGTGCGGCGTATGGTCTGAGCACTGACATGCTGAGCCCCCACCCTTCAACCTCTGCAGCAATGCTGGCAGCACTCATACGTCTGTTTCCCAAACACAACCTCTGGATATGAATTTACAGATTTGCCAATTTCTGTTTTAAACTGAGTTCTAATTTGAAACAGAATTCTCACCTATTTTTTTAACCGTTTTTGAGGGGCGCCAGCTACACTTGGCCAGGCCTGCTAGTTATATGGCAACCAATCCGAAGTCTTCTTTTGCCCGTTATTTTTGTTGTTGTTCTTTTGAACGGTAACAAGTGCTTCACACGTTATAGAGAGTAGCTCTGGCACTCCTCGTGAATACCACACACACACACACACACACACACACAGAATGCTTGCCAAGAATAAAAATCCATCTGTGCAATGAGATTTCTCTGGTGTCTCCAGCTCGTCCAGAAATATTCACTTTATTGTGAAGAGTCCAGGCAAAAGTTAAGAGTATCATTATTCTCAAAATAGAGTGTTAAGAAGAAACATTTGTCATAAATCCCAAACTGAAAATTGAGAACAGTTTTTGGAGATCACTTTTTAGTTAGAAAAATGTGCTTGACATATTGTTTAATCAACATGAGGATTGTTTTTAATGATTTACATATGAGTTTAGCAGTGTCGGGGAACTAGAGGGATTTATGGATGGCTGACTACTGAACAGATAATTTGCTCTATAAGAATGAAGTTTACTGATTGAGAAACCTTTACAATGCAATAATGTCTTATGAACAACAGCTCTAAACATTTATTGAGCACCTATGCTATCCTACTAAATACAATAAAAATGCATGAATATCATTGCATTAGTTAAAAAAATCTGAGAAATGTACAAAAGAGATATAATAAATGCATGTATGTTAGGATTTAAATGGTAAAATGGAACACAAATTTGTGAGACATTAATAGTGGAACATGTTACTGGTTACCCTGCTAGGACACTCAGTGATTATGATGGGAATTGACTTAATACATCCACTTAAAGTACCTTGTGACCACTTTTTAAATGGAGTTGCAAAAAAATAAATAAAAAAACTGAAGCTAATTCTGAGAGTTCTTGCATCAATTTTAACATAAAGTTTTAACATCAAAAGCTTGTAGAGGCCTTCAGTTTAATATTTTGTTATTCGGTGCATTGCATTTGTAAAATGTGTGACTTAAAGGTACAGTATGTAAGTTTTCACCGCTAGAGGGCGCGTATTCAAAACAAACAAAGAAACAAAAGTGTAGTTAGATGACGCCGTGACTGAGTGTTCATGGGAGTTGTCGACTTCATCCCCACAGCCGACGCAATCCAATGGGACTCGGGCAGAAATCATGTTCATGGATGAGCTAATGTATTAAAGGGGTCATATGATGCGTTTTCAATTTTTCCTTTCTGTCTAATCCGCCGGGCACCGCTCACTCAAGCCTCTGTGTTTCGTTGTGAAAGCGAAACTAATTTGTTTGGCCTTCCAAAAGAAGACATAATGTTTCTATTAAGTGGGGCAGTTCCAACTTTGCAAGGACAGTCTGGCGCTTCTGACTCACAGCCTGTAAGTACGTTTTTTATATTGAAAGAATTTGCCATTGATGATTCAAACGCGAGTTTGAGCAGTGTAGAGTAGCGCTTATTGTTTGTCATTTCTCCGATCACAAATGCAGACATGGTTTTATGTTTGCGTAAAAACACAGTATAAGTCATTACAATCAGTAATTATGTCCCCACTGGATGCAACAAATGCCTCGTTTGTAATGGGTGTTATTGGTTTTGTCGAAAATGATGTGTTTTTTTAACCTTAAACCGCATAAACACATTGCATTACACCAATGGCTGTAATGCATGACACATGGCTCGAAAACAGCGGCGCTTTTATTATGCCACACTTTAGTTTTCCGCTCCTTCCGGTCGTGTGTATGTGGGGGTAAAGCAGCACTGTTTTATCATACTAGATACGTTTGAAAGTTTTGTTATGATGCTACTCTGTGCGGTCGTCGAAATACACAAAATAATGTTCTTTTTAGCAACATCATATGACCCCTTTAAAGATGTATTAACATCGTATGAAGCAGAGTGAAGCGGAAAGCTGTCAAAGCGAAACGAGGCAGCTGAAGCAATTGCTAATGAGAGACGAGGATGACACATGGCTCGAAAACAGCGGCGATTTTATTATGCCACACTTTAGTTTTCCGCTCCTTCCGGTCGTGTGTATGTGGGGGTAAAGCAGCACTGTTTTATCATACTAGATACGTTTGAAAGTTTTGTTATGATGCTACTCTGTGCGGTCGTCGCCTGTCTAATAAAACGCACAACATATTGGTGTTTGGTGTTTTCATGTTTTCTACAAAACAAAACCCGGAAATCGAGGGTGTATGACGTCATTGGCAGGTGACACAATGACACTATATACACGGTCCGTGGTACTAGTTAAAACTGCTTATTTCTCTGGAATTAAACATTCTTCGATATATTTGGGATAATGTAAGTACACAAGTTAGCAAAATATATAACACTGTTCTAGTGGGTTTTGGATATTTTAATAAAAAAATCTTACATATTGTGCCTTTAAGTGTCCCATAATCTCTCAATACTTTCTGGGGCATTGCATATTGTTGAAAGTGAGAATCACAGAATGTTTTTATGGTGTGTAGGCTTCTGTTTTCCTCTGTGTTCCATGCTTAACTAAACGTCTGCCCACACAAACTGACAGAATGTGTGTGATTCATTTCACTTCCAGTTATACTTAGGCTCATATTTTTACAAATAAACACATATTTTACAGACCTAGTCACGTATCAGTATGCTTTCAATCCAAGGTGATACATAAATTTGTTCTCTGTACCAAGTCAGTAGTTAACCATGTTGTTAACCTCCCAGAGCCCTTTCTTATGTTGACTGTAATTTTGTGTGAGACAACTCATAGGTACTAATTTATGTCTGTGTTAGTGCCTTTCCAGAATGCATAATTTTATCTCAAATATTCTACTGAGTTTTTATTTGAAGGGTTTTATTAAGAATTATTAGTTATTGAGAGGTCCTCCTACTTTTCCAAGCAAACACTTTTTCAGGATACAGTATGCTTTATGAAAAAGAAGTACACTTTAGAATACTTTTAAAAAGAGCACTTATTATGGAAGTAATATACAGTGGGGAAAAAAAGTATTTAGTCAGCCACCAATTGTGCAAGTTCTCCCACTTAAAAAGATGAGAGAGGCCTGTAATTTTCATCATAGGTATACCTCAACTATGAGAGACAAAATGAGAAATAAAATCGTGCGAACAATGTGAGAATGTGTACTTAAATGTGAACTAATGTTTTTGGACACATAATTCCATGTTGCTTTAAAATCAAAATGCATTATGCTATATTTTAAATTTATATTTTAGAGTGTTTTTGACCCATTTAACTAGGACTTAAAATATTTACTCACCTTCAAGTCTTCCCAAACTTGTTTGAGACATATGATTTTCTTGAATTATGTTTGATTTTCTTTCTTATGTGCAACTCAAAATGAAAATGTTTTGCAGAAAGTCCTGAAGCGGTGTTATAGATAGGAAGGTACTGGTTATTTTTCAACCAATTTTCTACAGATTTGTTTACAGTGTAGTTTGTTAGTTTATGGACTTGTAGAATTTCAGTTTGAGTCTGTATAACATGTTTATATTTGCCTGTCTCTTCTATTTATTTGAATGTATTTGTTCTTCTAACTCAAAACAGAAATTGCACTAAGCAATCTGAGTCTTCCTGCTACTAAAAGCTGTGAAACTCATTGAGCTGCAGCTCAGCTCAGCAGCTCTGTTTAATTTATTGCACACTCATTAGAGTCTAGTCAGGGTCTTCTTTCAAATGCTCCATGCCTTATTACACAGTCAGTGCTCTATTTAAATATACTTCATATATGTTTACATGTGTTTGCAGTGGCTTATAGGGGACAGAGAGAGCTCATGTTCCCCTGCGTGCTCCAGGAGTCACGGCAAGCCTGTGTGTGGGTCAGACGGACGCAATTATGATACCAACTGTGACCTGGAGTGGGCGAAATGCAAAGACCGCACACTCACCCTCGCCCACAGGGGCCGATGCAAAGGTCAGTGGACATCAGACACTGTTGTGTGAGAATTTCTGAAAACAAATGAGACATCTTGAAATGCATGTGAACATTGTATCATTTCTTAAAAAAAAATAATAATAAAAACAGATGTATTATATGAAAACAAGCCTTATTATCACATGCATTTTGAAACATTAAATGGATAGTTCACCCAAAAATGAAAATTCTGTCATAATTTGAACAACTTGAGACATTTTGTTGGTGAACTATCCCTTTAAGTGCTTCTTGTGTTTGAATTAGTTGTTACCACTAGTTTACTGCAACCTAGTAATACTTTAAATAATAATAATAATAATAATAATAATAAAAGAGCACAAACAGTGATCACATAGGGTTTGACCCAAAAACCAAGACAAAGAAGATAAAAAATAAATAAATAAATAAACCAAATAAAAAAGTATTTACAATGGTATGCACTGTATAAAGATCCTAAATCACAACTCACAACTTTCAAACTTGTCTTATGGAGTTTTTGTCTACTGAAAGTCTTTTGGGAAGATATTTTGTCAGTATAGTCCATTTAACACAATGCACTTCTATTCCTCACAGCCTCATTTTCCTTCCTGTCAAGAAAACTAATCCTGAAAGAAACTTTGCTTCATCCATAATCACATACTGTTTGACTGGGTATTATATGTGATAAAGAACTTCTTCAGACATTGTATGTAGAATGAATGTGTGTAGGATTAATGTAATGCACGTTGGCATTGCCATGTGACTTACATCATCAACATCACTCTCTCGTGGCTTCATGGGATAGTAAAGTGTTCATTGGATGTGCTGGAAGTAGATCACCTGGGTACTTTTCGCCTACTGTTTTATAAGTACTATGTATTTCGGACATACTGCTCTTTCAGTCTACTATATAGTAAAGAAGCAGGCATATTAAAACGCAGTTAGTGATGTTACGCTCAACAAGGAAGCTCCGAAGCTTGTATATAAAAAACAACACATTTCACATCAAAGCAAAGTTTTGCCAAAATCACATGATCTATGACGTTCATTCATATGAAAACCATGTGACTGTTTCAGTATCTTTTTCAAACGATGCAAACCTCAGCCCGGTTTCCTTTAAATTATATTACTTTATAATGTGTTAGCATTGTTTTTTTTCTTGTTTTTTTTATATCGTAATTAAATAGTAAGATCAAATGAACTTTGCCTATGAAATAACAGAACTGAGGCAAAGTTAAAATAGACAGATCGCGGATTTAAATTATGATTTTATGTTTCATAAAGTTGACAGTACACCGACACAAATGAATGACTTTGACAATGACCATTATTTATATACAATAAAATAAAACAAAGAATCAGTTGTGAAACCAACGGCTGTAATGGAACACAGCAGTTTGGAAAGTGTTATTCATTTTATTACCACTAGATGGCCACAACATAAACCGTGTTGAAAAGCTTCGCGTAATGAACCTTTTTCCGATACAATTGTGTTGAAAGCTTCACTGGTTCAAAACGCTTCACTTCACCATCACTAAACGCAGTGCTGAATTCAACTAATACAGAAAACAGAAACATGAGGGACATGAAACCATGAACAAGACAACAAGAACTAGGAACGAGAATGTCAAAATGAAAGCACATAACAGAATAAAAGACCTGATTCAAAGGGGGGAAAAAAACGAACAAAACTAAAGCACAAGATATTGTAAACTAGTCCGTTCTTTGAGTAGTTGTGTTACGCAATATGTATTTTTAATTTAATTAATTTATTTATTTTTGCAATTTCAGGTAAAAACTGGGTGAGAATAGATCCGCCTCTTCCTGCACCCACACTTGTTTCAGAGGTCAAAGAGTTGACAGGTATGAAAACCTATACACACACAAGATTCTGCCAACTTTGCACCCTGTGATTGCTTCCCAGTTTGCATATTTCTATACTGTGCCCTCAAAGTACTGATGATGTTAAATTACTTAGGAGCGGTGTTGGGAAAAGTTGCGTTACTCCATTAAAAGTAACTAATTACATTACTTAGTTACTTTTTATGGAAAGTAATGTGTTACGTTACTTTTGCGTTACTTTTTCTCATCTGGCCTGGGCTTGCTTGTTTATTTTTAATTTAAAAAAGTTATATTTTTGTCAAATGTACAAAAATAAATTTTATTTTATTGTACATAAATAATGGTCATTGTCAAAGTCATTCATTTGTGTCGGTGTACTGTCAACCTTATGAAACATAAAATCATAATTTAAATCCGCAACAGAAGTGAAATGAATAATGAAGGAAATGTAAATTCAACACATTCACTTTAACATTTTCATCACAATCAAAAATAAAAAATGAAACACAAATGTTGCTTATCTGTTGTGGTTATGAGTCATTTTTGTTTATGATTGAATTGGATAAATTAAGGGCACTGGTAAAATGGGTTAAATACATAAATAACTTTGTTTTAAAGGGGTCATATGATGCGATTTAAATTATTCCTTTCTCTTTGGAGTGTTACAAGCTCTTGGTGCATAAAGAAGCTCTGTAAAGTCTCAAATCCAAAGAGATATTCTTTATAAAAGTTAAGAGTCAGCCACACCTACCTAAAACAGCTCATTCTAACACGCCCCCACATATCTACATCACTATGTGGGAAGATTTGCATAACGCTGCCCAAATGTTCACGCAAAGAAAGAAGACGTAACTTTTATTTTCGCTGTAGTATTGTTGTTGCCGCAGCCATGTTGTGAAGGCGCTGTGTGTTTCGTTGTGAAAGCGAAACTACTTTGTTTGGCCTTCCAAAAGAGGACGATATCCGCTTCGTCATGCCTGGAGCTGATCCATGCTGGTCGCTGAGGGAATACATCGGGGACGAAGCGGAGTCCAGCCTGGGGTCGTCACATGTGGTTGCCGCAAGCCCGCCTGCCTCCGCTCACTCTAGGCCTCCGTGTGTGACGCTGTGTTTCGTTGTGAAAGCGAAACTACTTTGTTTGGCCTTCCAAAAGAGGACATAAACACATTTCATTACACCAAATACACAAAACAATGTTCTTTTTAGCAACATCATATGACCCATTTAACATTTAATTATTGCAGGTTTGCGTCGTATTTTGAGTTTGCATTTCACTGTTTTTATTCATTTTGAGGAATTCTGAATCTGTTTTTGTGCAAGTGAGATGAGTAAATGCATGTTCACATTTAGTCTCAAACTACAGTAACCATCATGTTTACACAGCGCACACGACATCTCTGCACTTACTCCTGATTTCTCTCAACATGGGGACAGGAGAGCTGTCAGTCAATACATGGGGAAAAGTTTACTTATTTGAAAAAGTGACTTAGATATTGTCTTTTAAATTAAAAAGTAATGCGTTACTTTACTAGTTACTTGAAAAGAGTAATCTGATTACGTAACTCGTGTTGCTTGTAATGCGTTACCCCCAACACTGCTCAGGAGATGGTAAGAAAGTTTGATTCAAGACTGTATGACAGCATCATGCTAAAGCTAAAGTTTCACAAATGCCATTGCAAAATGCTACATAATGCCAATTATGTAAATAATTTGCATGCATTCAACTGTGATTAATTCAACCCATTTGCAATATTTAAATAGTTTAAGGGGTTAACAAAGATAAAGTGGTTAGTATTCATCAAGTCAGCTTTTTATTTTACATGGAGCTGATACTGACATGACTGGATTCTTCATCTCGTGTGAGTGTACTGTATACGATGTTAAAAACAATTTAAGTACTATTAATATCTATGAATAAACATTTTTTATTTATACTTTTAACTTTTAGCTTCATATGTTTACAACTGCACTGGCACTTTCGGCCTCACATTCCTCACCGTTTTTTCTTTTCAAATTGTGATGAAGTTTTGTTATTCATGTGTTGGCATGAAGGTGGCTGATCTCAAATCAAGGCAGCAGAACACATCTGTGTGCGTGTCAGTCTAGAGAGAATATACAGTCCCTGGAGCATTAGAGCAAACTGCCGAGGAAGCGCGTATGCCCACTGGTATGCATGTAAGTTTTTGCAGGCCGTGTTGACATGCTCAAAGACAGATTGACTGGCTTTAAGTCAAGGTCAGCCTGCATCATCAATTTCTTAGACTGGATTGTGTTAAACTGTCAGTTAAAAGTGCCAGGAATGGTCATTGTTGTCACTGTTTTTAGGGGGGGGGGGGATAAAGAAATTAATTCAGGTTGCATAAAGCTGAACAGAAACTTTGGTTAAAGCATTATTATTTACTGAGTGTAAAGTTTATACACAGTACAAACCAAAAATCTCTTCAGCAAAACAGAAGTAGTAAGCTGAAAATAAAAATAAAAAGGAAAGGCAGGCTTCTTAGGACTAACAAATTTGGCCAATTACCAAAATTATTGCATATTTTGTTCCATAGAAATGTACATTTGGCAGTAAAGTGTTGTTTTTTTTGTTTTTTTAATTTGGGATACATAAGTAAATTTACTGTTTTGTAAAATACTATTTAAAAAAAGTCTGGAGGTCTGTTTCTATATATTCTACACAAGGGAAAACACTAAAAAGGTCAGTATAATAATTGATTAGTTTGGGGCTTGGTTTTTATTAACATGTCCATAAGTCTTGTGTTGTCGGGGGGTGATTGCAGCCCACCTGCCTCTCTCAGCTGATCGGTCATAGACTTCACAGGTACAACAGGTGTTTCTTATTTTACATCATGGGGGATTTGAGAGCATCTGCTCTCAGACATGCAGGGCAGATTTGCAATTTGTCTCTTTGTGTGCTTGATATGCCTACATCTGTCTGAATTCATATCTTCACATGCATTTGAAAGTATATTGCAAGTCTATGCATTTGAGGACTTAACTGTGAATAGCTTAAAAGATAAAAGTGTGAAAATGATTATGTGGTTTTTAGCCTCCCCACATCTTGGGTGCAGTTCAGCACCGAGGTCCAACTTGTAAGCGTTGTTTATTTGTCTTAGAATGACTAAATGCTCTTTGTGTTCATACAAAATGACCAAGTGCTTACATGCTGGAACACAACACTCAGCTTTGACATTTCAAACCTCATATTTTCCATCCTTAGATCAAGATTAGACTAAGATCATGATGCACTTCTTACCGCAAGCAATGAGGTTTCTTTCAAAGGCTGTGTAATGAGATGGATTTTCCAATAATCCGATCTTCAGTAACGGTTCTATTAATTGTTTTCAGGATTTCAGTGGTTATGGAAATATCAAGCTATTTTAAAAAGTCTGGAATGCTCACAAACATTAATAATATCTTAAAAAGTTAATGGAAATGGCATGGAAATTTCCATTGTGAATATATATATATATATATATATAACTGAGCAAAGGGTCTGAATACTTAGGACCATGTGATATTTCAGTTTTTCTTTTTTAATAAATCTGCAAAAATGTCAACAGTTCTGTGTTTTTCTGTCAATATGGGGTGCTGTGTGTACATTAATGAGGGAAAAAATTAACTTAAATGATTTTAGCAAATGGCTGCAATATAACAAAGAGTGAAAAATTTAAGGGGGTCTGAATACTTTCCGTACCCACTGTATATATATATATATATTTTTTTTTTTTTCCCTAGTTGTTCAGATCTATAATATAGTTGGTATTTGTGAGTGAAATTTCTGTAAAATGATTTTTTTGAAGTCTATTCAAAATAACTATCATGTAATCATGAACAACTGGAAAGGTCATGGAAGTTGACTGGTCGAAAAGTGTGGGAGTGTGTGTGTTTGGTATCCTATTGTATGGGAATTTTACAGTGATTATTCAGTAACTTGCCTTACGCATGTTTCAATTTATTAATTTCCTAGATATTTTTTTTTTCCAAAAGCAACATATAGTGAATTCAAGGTATATTTTCCTAAAAATTCTCTCAGAATCAAATCCATGACATTCCCCTTGCATCACTATCCTTATGTACTAAAACTGTTCATATTATAGCAATAATTGTACATCAAGTGTGTAATTAGACACATTTGTATCTATATTGCAGAAGCGGGCCAGACGAAATGTCGGACTGAGAGGATTCAGGCTTTGGAACAGGCCAAAAGGCCACAGGAATCCATTTTTATCCCAGAATGCAATGACGATGGAACATTTGCCCAGGTCTGTCAGAGTTCTGGACTGCCGGAGTGTTGTTTCTGACATCGACTAATCCTAAAGCAAACCTACCTAGTGGACAAATTAGCCTTCCAACATCTTCCCCAGTCTCTAAAAAAATGCACGTCCCTGTGTTTCTCATCAGTACGGCCGAATAGGGAATTTGAATGGAAAGTGTACATTAAATCACATTTATAGACTCGCAGCCTTTATTTCACCAGCGCCTTACTTTGTTAAACAGCGATCATCCAGTCCGCCTAAGATTTTAATGCCTCATCGTTTATGAGTAATTTTTCACTCTGAATAATTGTATTCCCCTAGCGCAAGCGCCATGAGATTTTCTGCAGGTCGTCCAGGAGATACAAGAGCAGTTACTGGAATTTTCTCTCACCTCTATCCATCTGTATCTCCTCCAGGTCCAATGTCACACCCTCACAGGATACTGCTGGTGTGCGACGACAGATGGCAAGCCAGTCAGCGGCTCTTCTGTCCAGAACAAAACACCAGTGTGTTCAGGTACTGTATGTATGCAGATAGTATCTCTAGACTGTTTGCTTGGATTATTGCTTTGTGTTTAGGTCGTGCTGAAAAGCAGAACCGCTAAACCATCATGCGCCTCGGTCAAGAAGTTGTGCCTGTAGTCCATCACTTTCAGAGCCATTAGACTTTGTTTGATTTAAATTGTGCTCTTTGTTTTGATGGAGTCAGTGTGATGTTAAACTCTAGCCACCACTCTGTTTAGTTTACTTTTACTGTGTTTGTGCATGGAACCGAGAGGTGATGGATAATATCCTGGAGGACATATGCTGACTCCAAAAGTTTTCTCTCCTCTTCTTTACGGTTTCTACATTTCTCTCTTTCTGTCTCTTTCCAAATTCACACTCAATCAATCTCTCTCTTCATCCGTTTCATTCTCTACTATTTTTCCTCCTTCTCCATCATTGCTTTCTCGTTCTCTCTTCATTGTATAACTGCTTTCAATGGAAGGTTGGAATGAGGAAGCTTTTCTCTTCGTAAATGAATGGGAACACTTTGCTCTAATGGCCAAGAATTGTTCTGTTGGAGATAACGCTACAGTATCCTGCCAGAACTGGATTACATTATGATTGGATCACCTGGTTTCTAGTTCTTTGATTACATTCCATCTTGTGCCTTCCTAACCCTGATGCTACATTTCATCTAGCTTTCTGGATGGTCCATACACTTGTCAGTTCAGTTCATCTGTAGCTAACTGCAGAGACACCCGTGACTTTTTGAAAATTTTGCCTGTTACATATAATTAATTATTTTCTTTAAAAAAATAAAATGTTTATTATTACCATTATAAATAATGTATTTTCTATTTGGGACCTTTTATTTCACCATTTCCGCACCCCTGTTGGCACCAAACAGAATTGCAAAATGGAATTACTGAACAGGTTTCCAAAGAGATTTCCCAAACACTCCATTGTATGGATGAACAGGAAGTCCTGCCCCCAAACCATAATGTTGTTTTAGTCAATGTTATTATATTGGGCCACTCAAATAAACAGCACTGTGTTTTTAGCAGCACCGAGTCACAGGTTTTGATTAGAATAGCATGCTAACATTCTACTTTTTCTGTAATATGCAGTGTGCACAGTACACTATAACTTTAAAATCTTCATGAATGGAAAAGTAGATTACTACTACACTTGCCAAAATATAGTATGCACTATAATCCCACATCCCACATTGCAATGCACTCAACTTTACCTTCCATTTCCTTTGTGAGAAATAAACTGGAAGTAATAGAGTGATGCAGTGATTATGTATATTTGTAAGCCAACCTGGAAGTGAGCATCACCCTGGTTCCCTCCAAAAACCCAATCAGATTTTCCCATTGGAGATTTTTTTACAACTCTTCCAGTCTCTTCCGACAACTCTTCCCGTCTTTATTTAAAAAACATTTTCTTGAAAGTTTCAGTTAGAATAGTTTGCAAGAACGCAGTTTTAAACACTGTAAAAGTGAGTTTATCTGTTCAGCTTGATGATGTTTAATGTCCAAGACAACCTCTGTTTTTTTTTTTGGCTTGAACCTTGGCTCAGTGTTCTACATCTCATGAATGTTCAAAAGATGGACTAGTCCTGTCCCAGAAATGAGTGAATCCCATGAATCACCACTTAAGTGAAATGTCTTGCACACGTTTGCAGGAAACTTCCGTGAATTTATGGGAACTCATGCTGGGACAAGTGGATTGTCAGGTAGTAAATTTCATTCCAAATAGCCCTTTTGTTCAAAGTTCTCTTTCTCTCCAGTATTTTAATTGGTTTGACTGCCTAATCTTAAATGTATGCATGCCTTTAATTCTGAGCATTTGCACGTTCTTGGATCAATGTGATTGTTTGTGCATAACTACCCCCACCTCAAAGCATTTTATCTGTTTCATGTCACACTAAAGTGTGTTTTATTCATGGATACTCAATCCTGGAGATCTGTCTTGCTGCAGAATTTTGTTTCAACACAAATCAAACTCAACTAGCTAATCAAGAATATCTCCATTGATGTCTACACAGGGGACTTCAATCAGGAAAACCACACTGTAGTACAATTACAGAAATGCACAAAACATTTGCTTAAAAACTGGCACGTTAGAACAAGGTTGGAGCTATATTCTGCAGTAAGGTGCGTCTACAGTACTATTGTCAATAACAATAAGAGTAATTAATAATAATATAATTAATAATAATAATGAGATATGAATAGTGGATGTAAATAATTGTAACAATTATTGTGGCTATTTTCACTACCTAAATAAAATATGTAGCATTGCACACCATTGTTCCTTGTGTGTGTGTGTTTTTTTATATTTCTTTTTTTTCTTTTTTTATGTGCTATTAATGAATGCACCCAACATCTGGAATAATATGGGGCTAACATTACAGGAAACTTAATTTCTAGATTAATAACATCTCAACATTTTCAGCAGTGAAAATGTGGTTTCAAGAAAATGTGGTCTGGTGGTTATTACAATTTTTTTCTTTAATTATTATTATTATTATTATTATCCTTGTACTGATTCCCATTTGTCTTAAATGTGTAAGTTAAGATGTTACAATTATCACTTGCATTTTGTAATCTTTTGTATGCATGCTGTTCATACAAGTGCATATTTTAACCTGTTCTTCCAAAGTGAAGTGGTTACTGTAGTGCATTGCACAAGTTGAGTAAACATTTTGCTCTCTCTTTAAAGGGTCAGTAACCGATAAGCCACCGGGACCTCCAAGCTCTGGCAGAAAAGGTGAGTTGGATTTCACAGAAATGTGAGCGTGTGCTTATGTATGAGAGATATTGAAAGCTAACAATTTAGGACACTAAACTAACATTTCTCGCCTCGTTTTATTTATTCATGTAAGATTAAATGTGTCAGCACATTCAAAAAGATGTCAACTGTTGCCTTGTATTTCTCTGACATGTTCATTGGCCTGACTCTGACTCAACTTTCTGTCAAGCTTTTACTTCAGACTTAAGTTTCTCTAAGGACCGTAAAGGATGAAAACCTATTCCAGTTGTTCCATTTAACAGCCAGTGTAAGAACTTAGCACACATCAAAGGCATGGCTCTGCCAAAGCCCCACCAGTCTGTTACAGCAGTGACATCTTAAACAGCTAATATAGATGTTAACAGCAACAATGGCAGGCATCTACTCTTGTGGGCCCTAACTCAGGAAAGCCAGATTGTCATTTACAGGCCCCGAGGGTGGTGTATAGGGGTTTGAGAGTGTGTTTAGGTTTGTATCGCAGGAATGGGAGAAGGTTTGCCTGTTTTGTTTGTTTGTTTTTTTTTTGTTTGTTTTTTCAGATCTTGTTTCGCCTCTTCTGCACTGGGCGTGCAGACAAATTGCGTGTGCAACAGATGTTTATGTCACCAGCAGGTGGACAGTGGTTGTGTGCCACTGTATGTGAGTCTTTAAAGTTCACTGTAGGGTTTCAGGATTAAAAATGCCTTTCACTCTTTTCTTAGCATAATTTATTTTTAGCAATGAATACATTAATACAAAGATGGCGCAGGCCAATAGGTTCTAACTCAATCTGATATAATCACATCATTATTCACATGGCACAGCTGATTGGTTTCTTTCGCTTCAACAGCCAATGATATTGCTGCTCAACGTTCACATATTTGGCTAGTGCTTGCTGTAGCAGTTGCAGCGTGCTTCAGAAACCCTCCACCTTCCCCAGCTCCACCTGTATAGATCTGTTATGGGGTGATTTCATGTATGTTATATATGGGAGTTATTTCATGTATTAAATGTGCAGCAGCAGTATTTCCTACATACAGCAGCATGTCTGTGGATGTATTGGCAGTAGCAAGTCTCAGTACTTGCTCTGCCGCAGCAGCAGCATAGCCAAGACCAAAAACATTAACATTGCCATGTACTGTATATTATCATGCTAAACTCTCAGAGAGTTGTCAAGACAGAACTATAAACCTTTTGAGGAATATCTACAATGAGTTGTGAGGTTGTTAAAGGTAAATAATCTTATCATTATTGTGTTTTATCTTTTAAAGCTACAACATCACATGTAGTTAGCTAGGTAGTGCTAGTGGAGGCTAGCTAGGTTACTTGTTAGCTAGCTACATAGCTTGCTACATACAGTGGAGATCAAAATTTGAGAACAATTTATGAACACTTAATTTTTCATCATTTAAAATTTGAAGGAATTTTAGTTGCGGCTATGCCATGCTAGTAGAACAGTGTTTTACAAAATAACCAAGGCACTTCAGCAACAACAACAACAACAAAAAATAATGTATTTTGTGAAAAACACAGTGATCAAAATTAGAGAACAGCAATGATTGTAGCATGAAGAAAGATTACAACTAAAATGTTTTAAGGTTACAGCAGTCAGAAATTAGTAGGAAGTGTACAGGTCCTTGCTTTGAATGATTTCAACACATCTGCGGCCACAGGACATCACTAGTTTCTCACACTGCTCTGATGTGATCTTGGTCCACTCTTCTTCCAGTCTCTTCCACAGTTCGTTGAGTGCAGTGGGTTTCTTAGCAATTACTTTGTCACCAAGTATTTTCCCAACATTTTCAGTCGGGTTTATCAGGACTCTGGGCTGGCCATTTCATTATTTCAATGTTTTCAGTTTCAAGGAACTGCTTTACCTGTTTTGCTGTGTGACAGGGGGCATTGTCCCGCATGAAAATTGCTGGCTGAGGGGGCGATGACCACAGAGAAGGAACCGCATGTTGCCACAGGAGGTTCTGATAAACATTTGCATTCACCCTGCCATGTATCTGTATAAGAGGCATAACTCCTGCTGCACAGAACACCCCCCAAACCATGACACTTCATCCTCCACCTTTCACTGACTTCTTTACACACTCTAGGTTCAGTCTTTCCTCAGTTTGATGACGAACATAATGTTTCCCATCAGACCCAAATAAATTATACTTGCTTTCATCACTGATGTGAACTTTGGACCAGTTCTCCTCTCTCCACACAACATGCTCCTCAGCAAAAGTTATTCTAGCCTTTTGATTCTTTCTGCTGATGAGAAGTTTGGTCAGTGCAGAGTGGGCTTTCAGTCCAAATTCTCTTAAATGTTGAGACACTGTATAGTGTATACCAAGACAGATCCTTACCCTGTTCAGCACTGAACTGGCAAGCAATTCCAGCTGCAGTGTTGAACCGATTGCCCATTGATATTCTATGCATTATCCTGTCTTCTCATGCATTTGTCTTTCGTGGATGATCAGCCTTTTTGGGGGACTTGAATGAGTTAATTACATTTTAAAGATGCAATATTTGAGAAATCACAGATTTGGAATGATCAGCTTCTCTTGCTATAGCTGAAAAGGTCATCCCTTTGGCCTTCATCTGGACAACCTGCTGGCAGAAGGTTTCAGTCACTTTAGCACGGCTCACCATCTTGCAAAGTCAGTGAAAACTGGAAAGTTAGGCTGCGAGTTAACTAGGGTTTGTCAGATAATTAAGGACATTAGCACCAGGAGCCAGATTAACACCAATAACTGGGAGGTATCTGAAAGTGTTCACTAATTTTGATCAGTGTTCTTTTTCAAATATCTCATTTAAGTTTTTTATACTGTGCTTCAGAATGTTTTTAACTCATGAAATATGCTTTAAAATGCTTTCTTGTTTTCTGCAGAACGCAAAAGAGATATTTTGAAACATTTCTCAATGTTTGAAGTATCCTCTAAAGCATAAAACAGTAGTGATTTGACGTTTGACAATTCTAAATTTGTGAAGAAGACAAAAGACACACAGTTGACCCTTCGTAAAGACCTGCCCCCCTTCATTACTGTTGGTACGTCCAACAAGCCACCATGCTCTCACGCCACACATCATGTTCTCACGCAGTGAAAAATATATCGCGGAGCAAAGAGGAAACTGACAACGTGCCGACAGACGAGACAAAGCAGGTTACTTTTGGTATGAAACAAAGTCTTAGCTTTCAAATTCTGTCATTTTGTAAGAAATTCAAACAATAAATACCCTATTGTGGTCCTTTAACATGTCGTGACAGATCTCAGTTCAAGCGACACTTGAACCAATCATTTCTTCCTCTTTACTAATTATAGCATGAAATAAACATGAATGAACATCAGAAGGTATCTTGTTTCAACTGTGGAAAGATGTCAATACACACTTTTCAAGTTCAAGTCCACCAATGTCAATCTACTCTCCTGTCTGGTTTGTTTGTCGGACAAAAATGGCGGATTCTGTGTTATGATTGGTCAGATCCCCTGTCAATCAGACTCCCTGCGAAGGGTCAATTGGGTGTTATTTTTTCTCATTTCTAATTACTTTGAATGAAATGCTATATTGAAATTCATCTTGAAGCTGGTTGGTTTGATTTTAAGGTGTACAATGAGTAGCTGTCACTGTTGCTCTTAATGAACCGGGAATTCTCTGACTCAGATGTAAAGATATCTTTAAAAATAGCTTTTAACAGTGTATAGATCATATTACTGCTGCTGCTATCTTTCTAAATTACCCATGTTTATATAAGACAGGAAATAATAGAATTCACTTTCAGAAATTATATCATAAACATTGATTTTACATGCAAACGTAGAGGTCAGGGGGAAATTAGTGTCACATTGACTATAATTCAGTTCAGTGAACTACATGTATTCTATGAACTGGTTTTGCTGCCACCCTGTTGTGGCTTTAGCACTGTAGCTTTGGCCCCTCCACTGCCAGGGCCTACAATGATGTGAGCCACAAGAAAATCAGCCAGAGTGAAATAGAACATAAGTGGGTAAGTACTATAGGACGTTTGCCATTTCTCAATTATCATGACAACTTTGAATGTGTTAAATAATGTACTATTGCCTTTTTATACAATTATGCATTACAATACCATTTATCTAAACAGTATGTATGTGAAAGCTAGTTTTTTTGCATTCCGATATGTGTGTGTGTGTTACTGAGTGGATGAACACTGTTATTTATCTGTTTTCTCACTTGTATTTTCTCACTTTGTATCCTCTGTCCCTCACCCACTTTGTTTTCTGTGCTATTGGCCGGGCCATGTGCAAATCCCAATCATTCAACAGTTGTGGAGAGTAGATTGTATTAACCTCAATAATGGTAGTCTCTTTCCGTTTCTTTCTCACCCTCAATCCAGATGATGGCTCCAAACCCACACCAACCATGGAGACACATGTTGTCCCAGAAGGTGAGGGTAAGTTTGGACCCCATGCAAAAATAAGCAACACAACAACAACATATGAGTCTTGCATTTATGGATATGACTGATATACAAGTGCAAATCAATCTTATGTTGTATTTTAAACAGAGATTACAGCTCCAACTTTGTGGATTAAGCAGCTGGGGTCCAAACAGAACAGTTCAAACAGTAGGAAGTCAGGTGAGAATCTCTATCTACCATTCATCTGTCTGTCTGTCTGTCTGTCTATCTGTCTATCTATCTATGGCTATCGTCCATTGGTAAATTTAATGTTCTGATATATCAAAATCAGTTGTCTCACAACAGACATGGCTGTCTACAGCTGATTTGATTTATAATAGATACAAATGGAAAGAAAATCCCATAAGCCTATTTCCTTCTTTGAGCAGCAATGACCAAAAACACATATTTTCAAGGAGAGCTTTATGTTGACACGTACAAGTCTGCTGGCTAGCCTACACAGCACTACAGAAATATTTCAAAGCATCGTCATTGCAGCATCCAAGTCGGTGCATTCAGGCGCACTTGATTGTGCAATAGCTCTGTTCCAGTTTTAGATTTAATATTCAGCATGTCCAGGGACGAGAAACCTAACACCAGTAGAATTACGGCACCCCTCTTTCTCTGTTTGTCTCAACTCTCCTCTGTGTAATTTGTTTAGCTTTCTGTGTCTCCTTTACAATTTCCTTCAAATGAGTCGAGCACCCTCTGGGCATGCTCAGTCAACTCCGTCAAGCTCTGTGGGGTTTTTGGGCAGTGCGGTTGAGAGGTAGAGGGATCTGAATTTTTGCAGTACAAGAAGAGGACACATTTCATGACTGAGGGGAGAGAAATGTGTCTGTGTTGTGTACATAGTGTGTGTATGAGCAGTTCCAGTGGTGTTCCTTTGTGTACTTATTGCCTGTGTGGCCTATAATTGGTAGACATTGAAAAATAATCGATTTATTCCACCAGAAAAAAAATTGACAAAAAAAATTCTGTGCTGAAGGAAACACTTACCTTGAGCAGACAAGTTGTATATCTACTCTGACAAGTCTTTGGAACGCTTCAGATTCTCCTCCTGTGACCAATTAGCATCTGTTGCACATCAACACTGTTCAACAAGACTAGTAGATCCACGGTCATCACAAGGGTGCTTTTGGTGCAGAAGTGACGGAATTGGCATCAGGTTCCACCGTTGCTGCTCTTGGGAGCGTGTGTGGGATCTGGAGTAAATTGAAACACTGCGATGTTGCTTTTTCTGCTAAAGTAAATCTTGAAGAAAGCCAAGTTTCCATCTCTCAGTGCATTGTGGGTGGTACGCATCAGTTCAAACTTTCACACATCAACTCTTGCAGTTATAAAAGTGAACATGCTAATCTAAGGTGAGGTAAATGGTGTGTTTCTATGGTAATTGTGGTTGTGGTCTCCATTAAACAGAACAAGCATAATTATCATAGTGTCCCCTCAGATTTGGGGGTGGTGGTATTAAGGTTTTGAACTAGCTACTGTACACAAATGTCTCTGTGGCTTCAAATGCAGGTAACACTTGGCAAAAACAGAGTTACAGAGACACCACAGGGCGCTTTAAAAAGACTTTAAGGGTGCTTTCACATCTGGCCCGTTGATATGGAACCTATTGCATTTCTCCCCTTAGCTCGGTTCGTTTGGGCATATGTGAACACAGCAACATCACTCTCGGATCCACGCCAAAACAATCGGTCTGAGATCGCCTGAACGAGTTGGTCTCGGCTCGATTGAAAACGAACTCTGGAGCGGTTTGGTTGTAGTGAGAAAGCAATCCGATCTAACGAACCAACGAACCAGGCTATATCACAATGTATAATGGGCAATTACGTAAGTTCCGTGAAAATCATTAGCTTTGCTGTTTTGCTAATACCTCAAAATGAACCTGTGAATGTCTGTGGGTGAGCATGTCTTTGCCATTCAAAATCAAAGCGCACATTTTCATTTTATAATGCCGTCTTATTGCTCTTCGTCCTAGTAGGTGCATTTTAAAAAATGTTTTCCAGATGAATCCTGGACTCCTGCTCAAAATGATAAATTAATATAACGACAGCTACAAAAAAACAACAATAAGCCCGCAAAGCTGTTGTCGTTCTATCCTGACAGATGACAGCTGTGACAGCTCAGTGGAATCCCGGAAAATAAACCGTGGAACTTTGACCCAATGAGAGAACAGTTTACTCGCACGTGACATGTATTAACAAATTTGGTCCGTTTATAAATTTTGCCGTGTGAAAGTGAAACGCACCAAAAATAAAAAGCAACATTGTAATAATTGTAATCCCTGTTTTGGAACAAAGTAATCAATCTACAAGCACCCTTAACCCTAGCGTGACTTTACCTAAAACTGTCTTTTTTTCTGCAAACATTGCTCTTTGTGCCTAAAAATGATTAAACTGAAGTGCTTTTTTTTCTTTTTTATCACATCATTTAAAAATATCACCATTAACTTAAAAAAAATCATATTTCCCCACCTCACACGCAAAGTTTTTTGATCACAGTCACCATAGGCATTATGGGACCAGCATAGGCCCTCAAACTAATACTCATACTGCAATCATCATGTATTGTTACTGACAGTAAACCCTGCATTATTTCAACACAGTGTGAATTCATATATTGACTTATTTAAATAAATAAATTCTGGTTGTATCAGTCAGTTTCAGTCTTATCTATTATGACTGAAAAAAATATTATATATGGTATATTATATTACATTATATTAACAGAATTATTATAATGAAATGCTGTTTCTCTTACTGTAAAATAAACTTGCTTGTGTTTAAATAATATGGCAAAAAAAAAGATACCAAACATTTAAATATGAATTCATAACATGGAAATGTAACAACATAACAGAGGTAAAATGTAGAATATTACATATATAACGTATAGCGTATTACGTATAACGTAGAAATATATTTTTTTCTATTATTCTATAAAAACCTGTTAAATGTAATGATGATTAATGAGGACATGGCTAATAAAATCAAATAAAATAGGATTTCTTTCTTTGCATTTTCTTTGCATTTTCTACATTTTATAGAGTTAAATCCATCTACTGTATGTGGATTATGATGTATGCATCTAAAACTCTAACTACCCACATTATTTTTAACGTAACACTGAGCACAGCCATTTGTAATTTGATGTGCAAGGCTTCCGGTGTCATTCGCTTCCAGTTATTTTTATCTGTACAAAACTGTTTACTTTCGTGTTGTAAAATAAGGTGGATATGACTAAGTTCTGTATCCTATTAATTATATAAGTTGTAAGTAATGGGGACACAAATGAGGCACAAATGGTTTTCTCAGAGTGACCCAATTTGGTAAGTCACTTTGGATAAAAGCATCTGCCATATGGCAAATAACCAATGCTCGCCACATGCCCAGGAAGTTCTTAAATGATTACGCATCATTGGCCCATCCTCTGTGAGAAACAACATATTGTGTTTCTTGATAAACATCAAAACCCACTATTTGCCAACTCACATAAAGCAAATAAAAAGTAAGTTGTTAGAATACTTCTAAGGATGAGGAAATGTTTGACAAGTGTTGATAAACCTTTCCATCCCCCCTTATAGCATATTAAAGTTTTTAAAGAACATGGTGCCCACCCCTCCTCTTCTGGCCCATCATACCCTCTTCTGTTACTATGAGCGCCGAATGCATAGATCCAAGAATGAAGTAATTACTTACCCCACAGCTGAAAACAATTGGAGCGATAGCAGAAGAAAGAGAGATAGAAAGAGAGAGATATATGCATCTAAAAGAGAAAACGAGAGAGAGAACACTGTGTTTACAAGAGGCCGATTAGTCTGAGTTTCAAGCTATTTTGTTTGGCCAGATCTTGGCACGATGAAACACATGAGGCTCTGATTTTCAGCATGATAGTGAGGAAATCAGCAGAGTTTACCTATAACATGCTGCGTATAAACTAATCAATACCAGCCTGTAAACATTGAGAAGGAACCACAGCAAAGCATTCTGGGGAACAATGAGCAATGAGGTCTCACCTTGGCTGTATTCTCTCTTATGTCTGTTTGTTTGAATAGAACTCATTCAACTCACTTCTTGGAACAACAAGGGACAGAATGCATAGAAATGGCTGTATTCCGAAAAGAGCGGAGGGTCAGATTAAGTTTTACATGCAGATAAAAAAGAAAAAAGAATGCATAAAAAAAATTTGACATGAATAGGATTAAGTGGGATCTGAGACTGCCCATCCTTTTTTGTCCTGTTTTATTGTATTAGGATGAGAGAGTAAAAAAAAAAACATTTTTGTTTGGGAATCACAGCTGCTTGGCACCAGTATACCCTCGCTACAATAAACAGTGCTAAATAATTTCGATATGAAGGAACCTTGGCGGGAAGCACAGGAGTCAGGGACTCTGCCGTGAACACTTGAGTGTGGATTGTGAGCCCATCTCTGAAAAAGAGGACATGATAAAACTCTGATGGCTAACTCTCCCCCGTTCCTTGTCTTTGCAGTCAGGTTCCACTTAAAACATCCCAAACCTTGTTCCCGATCATGCCAACTCTGTCAGTCCCCTTACCAGAACTATTTGTAATGAAGACAAAAGCAAAAACAGCAGGATTTGGTTACACTGAACAGGGTTGTAGCTCATGGTTTTCATTTGGAGGTTCAGATGAACCCTGACTGGGTAGTGCCGTTCTCCTCTTACACTCCAGATCTTGTCCTACCTCAGTACCACCCCTCAGCCTTCGGCCAGAAATTGTATACTTCGGTAGAAATTCATTTGAAGCCCATTTAGGCTTTTTTTTTTTTTTTCAAATAAAACGATGGAACTTGGACTGTACTGTACACATTGAGGCACATTGTTCTGTGGCGCTCAGGTAGGCTCAGGTTATTTTGTCCCATTATTTCTCCCAAAAGAATGTGGGTGATGTGATATTTGTGTCACTATAGAATTGCGAACATATTATTTCCAAACAGGTTTCCCAAACAGCCCTAGAACCCCACATACCCTGTGCCCATCTGCCATTGTTTAGACAAATAGTCCCACCCCAGACTAATGCTGTTGGTTGAACCACGCGTTCATACTACTTGACAAATTCATCAATTTCGTCGATTAATATGGACTGTTTAATCTATTATAAAACAAATAACACATTTAAAGAAGGATCCATTTTTTTACTTCCCATTTATGTGAAGATTGATATTTCCACCCAGGCTCATTGCAAATATATGCCTGTAGTATCAGGCTACATTTTATTACACCAGTTGCTGTACATATTGCAGTAGTTTGAGAATGTAATGTCCGGTGAGTGTCCCTAAAATGTAAATGCTCTATCACATT